AGGAGGTGGAATCATCTCCTTCACCTGTGACTATCATGGATGATTTTAAAGTAGGAGGTGGCGTTTGAGCTAGGTCTTGAAGAATAGAGATTAAATATGTAGAGAGAAGTAGTTGGAGAGGGGAGAGTGGTGAACTCCAACAAGGGAGAGCATGAGCACAGTTAGATAAAGCCAGAGCGTGTATGGGAGGTCACAAGGTAGTTCACGTAGGCCAAAATGTAGTTTGTGGGAAGAGGGAAAATAGTAAAAAATAAAATTGATAAAGGGTAATTTGAGACCAGATTATGGAGATCAGAGTCTGTTTTCTGGGTAAGAGAGAGACATTGAAAGTCTTTAAACAGTGCAAAAAAGTCTTTAAGCGGTTTGAAGAAGGCTGTGCTTCTGGACCATTTTGGAGGGGAAAGAGTCTCCTAAAATTGAGACCAGTAAGAAGGTTATGTGAGTCAGTGAAACGTACTCTTTCATAACACTCTTTCCTAACTTCTTTTAGACAATGGAAGTAAGTGATTTCACTTCTACCGTGGCTTGTTTCATGAGATTGTCGTGGGCTGCAGCTGCAGGACGCCTAGACCTTGTTGGGAGTAGCCAACCAATTAAAGAAAGTAATTCTCTGTTTCCTGCTGGAATTCGAAACAGACTCAGCAGTTCAGGTATTGATCAAATAAGGAAAGTAATTAAAGCATTGGGCAAGAAATAGCTTTGTATGGATTTGTCAGAGTCACGAAAAGGAGAAAGCCTTTTCGCTTGCTTTTGAGCCTGAGTAAAAATTTTCCAGGCTGTAATAAAGATTTGTGCATGTTACTGTATGTACGTCATACTTCTTTTAAGAAAGAAAACCCTTATAAACACGTAGAGTAAGTGGGGAAGCCAAATCAAGCAGGGTTTTTAGCTTGGCTGAGTCTAAAAGTGTCATGAGGCAAATAATTTTGTCTGTAATACAGATTCATCTAGAATTCCTACCTGGAAAATAATCTTTTCTTAGTTAAGCCAGTGTTCTATTAGGCCTTCGTAAGTAGTTTTATTTCTCAGCTTCCTTCGATTTTCCTGCTCAATCTATGTGTTTATAAATGTTTCAATAATTAAAAAAAAGTTATTAAAATGTATGGTATGCATACAGTGCAGAAATGTTGAGTGTACAGGATTTTTAGGATTTTTATATATGTATAATTCATGTAGAACAAGATGCAAGATATAGAACATCTCCAGTACCCCCAGAGGACTCCCTCACACCCTCAAAATTATACTACTCTTACTTCTATTACCTTAAATTAGTTTTGTCTTGTAAATAAATTTTGAGTGCCCCCAAATGTGTTTTAAGTACAGAGAAGTTATGGTGTTTCAAATAAAGTGATCAGTCTCTCTTGTTTCTTAGACTAAGGTGCAAAGTGCTTTTTTGAACTATTTAATTTCACCTGAGGATTCTGGAACATATTAAAAGGATATTAGAATATTGCACACTTCCAGTAGGATCCACAGTAAACTTGTACTTGCCTATTTTTAGGAAGCAATTGCAGCTCTGGGAGCGAAGGAGAACCAGTAGCCCTGCATGCAGGAATCTGCGTTCGACAGCAGTCTGTATCCACCAAAGACTCACTGATTGCCGGAGAGGCTTTGTCTCTTCTGGTTACATGCCTACAGCTTCGGAGCCAGCAGCTGGGTATGCCACAGGCTTACTTGGGATTAATCACTTTCAGAGAAAGACCAGATTTCTGTTGGAAATTATTTACATTTCTCCATAGATAAGGTCATACTCATAGAAATGAAAAAATGGAGGAGGGGGGAGTTGACATGTGGAGTAAGTAAGAATAGTGCTGGAGTAGTTAAATCTGAACAAGCCTTTATTGAACACCTTTTATATACAAGATCCCACAATAGGTGTTACCAAGGGCATGTGTCTGCCTTCCAGGAGCTTACTATCTAGTTGAGGAATTTAAACAACCCAAATTTACTGCTTCCTAAATTATAGAATAGATGGATAAAATTATATATAAACTGATAATGACTCCAGTATTAAAGATTATGAAATTTAAGATTTGCCCTTTCACCTTTATTGTTGCTTTGGCACACTGGGGCTATTACTGATTATTCTGTCAGCATTAGAACCACTCCAGGGCTCAGTCTTTTACCATTGTCTCTTCTTTGTCTACACTCCCTCTCTTGGTGATTTTATTCAGTCTGACAGCCTTAAATCCCATCTATATGCTGACAACTCCTAAATTCGGATCTACAGCCACTTGGATGTCAAATAGACATCCCACACTTAGCATGCCCAGAACTGAACTACTGGTCTTACCCATATCACTCAAGAGTCTTTCCTAACTTAGTTAATGACAGCTTCATTCTTCCAGTTGCTGTAGCCAAAAACCTTGGAGTCATCCTTGATTCCTTTTTTCACACCTGTTTCTAATCTGTCAGCATATCTTGCTTCAAACTGTATCTAGATTCCACTCCTCAGTGCCACCTTCACTGTTCTGAGCTGCCATCCTCTCTTATCTGGATTGTGGCAGTAGTGCCCTGACTAATCTCCCTGATTCTTCTCTTGCAGTTTATGCTCCACACAGTAACCAGAATGGACCTTTTAAAAGTCCATTTGTGTCACTCCTCTGTTCAAAACCTTCCAGTTTCTTCTCAGACCATGTAGAGCAAAAGCTAAATCTTTTCCAAGGCCTGACATAATCCTCACCCCCTCAATACTTCTGTGCCTTCACCTTCTCCTACTCCCCCCATCACTCACTGTGCTTCAGCCACTCTGGCCTCCTTGCTGTTACCCCAGCACTGCAGACATGTTCCTGCCTCAGGGCCCTTGCACTGGCTGTTCCCAATTTCTAGTATATTCTTTCCCTATATATCCACACGGCTCTCTGCTCATCTCCTACAGGTCTTTGTTTAAATGTCACCTTCTTAGTGAGTTGTTCCAACCACCTTTTAAAAAAAATCACAACCCTCCCTTCACTCTAGTACTACCCAAATCCTTAACCTTATTTTTTTCTATAGCACCTAAATCACTTTATAACATACAATATAATTTACTTATTTATCGTGTTCAGTATCATCATACCCTCCCCAACTAGACTGTAAGGTCCACGAAGGCAGAGACTGTTGCCCGTTTTGTTCCCTGCTGAACCCCCAGCACCCAAACACTGCCTGGTGGGTAATAGGCCCTCAATAAGTATTCAGGAATGAAGTTTTAGCAACTCTACTTTTAAAAATTGTACCAACACATAGGAGCTTTACTCTTAACTGTTATTAACTGCTTCATACTGCTTGTTATGTGGAATTGGTGATCATTATGTATTTAATATAGCATGCACACTAAGTGTATAAACCAGAGGTAAAGGTAATCAAGGTAAATGTATAGAAAAAGTTAAACATTTGTAGTATATTAAAATAATGTTCAAAATTATTTACTTTGAGCAAAAATGCTTTTAGGAGTTTATATATGAGAAGTATAATTCATTAAGAATGCATTTGAACATACACCATATTCTCAGTTCAGTTTTCCTAGAATAGTTTACAGATATTTTCAAATCAATATGAAAATATTATAACTTCCCTAAGGAGCCCTAGTGGCAGAACGGATAAGCGCTTGGCTGCTAACTGAAAGGTTGACAATTCGAACCCACCCAGTGGCTCCATGGGAGGAAAACCTGGCGATTTGCTGCCATAAAGATTACAGCCTAGAAAACCCTGTGGAGCGGTTCTACTGTCACATGGGGTCGCTATGAGTTGAAAATAGACTCAACAGTACTAACAACAAGTTTATTTTAGCATACATTTTCTAGGTAGCAAGTATTGATAGTTGTTTAATGCAATAAATATTTATTTTGTAACCGTATTTGCAAGGCATTGTGCTAAAATGTGGAGGTACGAAGATGACTAAGACATGGTTCCCACTCTTGAGCACCTTAGAATTTCATGGGGTAAATTCACAGATGTGGAAACAGTTGTAGAAGGTCCTGAATTCTGATTTCCATGTAGAAGAAAAGATAAAGTTCTGCTAAAGTTAGGCTTAAGAAATTACTAAAATTTTTTAAATGTGTTGCCTAACTTAATTCTCCCCTCCCCCCACCCAATTCTCCTTATTTTTACTGTTAGCATCTTTTTATAATTTGCCCTGTGTTGCTGATTTTATCATCGATATTCTACTTGGATCCCCAAGTGCTGAGGTAAGGATTTTTTAAATTACTGTATAAAAATCCCTGTGGTCCTGTTCTGTTGTGGACTCCCTTGGATAGCTGTGGCATTGTGGGAGTACAGACAAAACGGCACTTAGTTCTCTCAGGGAGTCATCTGGGGCCTCAGACCACTCTGAAGGCACAGTGACCATTTAGGCTATATGACCCTCCTTTCCAGTACTGCCTACATATTCCACCAAAAGATATGAGACTAGTGCTGTGATTAACAAGAGACAAATGGCATAATATCTGGGTTTTATTATCCAAAAATAATTTGCATTTGTTTATCATAGACAAAATGACACGGCCGATGTTCAATATCTATAGCTTACAAGGACAGCTGGCATTAAGTGTTGTCAGGGAAGACCAATTTTAAGCCATGAATGTAATTTAAATCACATTAGATTTTATAATTTTAACTTTCTTACATGACCTTGAAAATTAATTTTTTAAACACTTGAGTTCTTCTTACTTTGATTTAGATTAAGCTATGCACCTGTTGATTAAAATAGATTAGTAATTACAGTGGGAAATAAGTTCTCAAAATACACTTGTTTTTAAGTAGTCCTATTTTATTCAATGGAAACTTTACCATTAACAGTTGAAACTCTCATAACTTTGTAGGTATCTTTCAATAACTCGAATGAATAAATAGTGTGGGCTTTGAAGGAAAATCCTTTTTAAGCACTCTTTAAATGTTGATTGATATATGTCCTTTGCCATTAATAATGTAATTGCAGATTCGCCGTGTTGCCTGTGATCAGCTGTATACTCTTAGTCAGACAGATACTTCAGCTCACCCAGATGTACAGAAGCCAAATCAGTTTCTCCTAGGTGTCATTCTCACGGCTCAGCTGCCTCTCTGGTCCCCGACCAGTATTATGAGAGGAGTCAATCAGAGGTATGTAACCAAGATGGAATAGCTAAAGTTGTACAGAAAGACAGAAAGAGTAATGATTTGTGTATCACTCCCCTAAAGTCCTGAGTATATTATTGAGATGACAAAAGAATTTTTCCTTTCCTGTTCTCTATCATTTGTGCCCTGAAAGAGGGCATTTCTGTTTTTCTCCTCATTCAGGATAGGAGAGTTAGAAGAAACACTACTGGGCTTTCTCCTCCTCTGCCCACTCCCCGCCCCCCAGCCCTCCACCTCCACCTCCACCTCCCTAGTCCATCTGTCCCAAACAGAAGGAGGAGCTCACCTGGTTGGTGAGAGTCTGAAGTTATTTGAGCTGGGTCATTGTGTAAAGGACACTGCTCCTCACCACTTGTTTATCACTTTCTCGGCTCATCATGCTTCATAACTCCATGTCTGTAGCTATCCTTTTAGCTTTCTTAGTTTTACATGTACCTGGGCATGTAAGGAAGGCTTATGGTTGTAAAATCACTTGGGTCGGTTGGTTTTGCCTTCCCCATCTCACCTCTGCAGGCTAGCGCACGTGCACGGGCACCCTGATCAGGTCCAGGAGGGGAGGTAGGAGGTGCCACTTCGACCTTAATTTTAAGCCACTTTCTCTAACTCAACTTTCACCAGAGAGCCCCTCCTGTGGGGCTTATAAGGTACCAGAGAGATTTGTGAAATCAGTATGTCCTTTCCTCCTGTCCATGCTTTATAAATTAGAGCCCTGGAAGGGAAGAGACATCAGGGCTACCCCAAACCTCTAACATGTAAGCATCCAAGCCTTGACTGTTTTTAAATACCCGAATTTTCTAGATGTGAGACGTATAATCTGCAGAATTTCCTCAAATTAAGTTAGAATTTTATCTGTATTTGCAAGTCATCCTTACGGGATTAAATGTGTGTATTGATATTTATGTTCTCATGCATTCGTAGTATCTGGACATCCGTGGCCCACATATCTAAGTCTCAACACAAATATTACTTTGAAATATTTAACCCTCTGTTTTAACATTCCAGATTCACAAATAAGGAAGAAGTCAGGATTTTGGTTACTTTAATAAGATTATTGTGGGTAACTTAAATGTTAAGGATTTGGCCAAAACTTTCAGTCATGTTATAGTTTACCATCAAGATTTAACCTGAATAAGACATTAGCTGTGCATTTCTGCTAATGAAAAGTAGTAATTCATTAATTGTGCAAAACCAAATGCCAGAGAATGGTTTTTTAATAAAGAACATCTGAAATAAAAGTCACAGAAACAACTTTTTTTGACCTCTGATTTCTAATTTTTCCTAGTTAAAATTTCTCTCAAATCAGGTGATCCTTTTATTAATTTGTAAGACTAATGATTCTTTAGTGAAAATATTTAAGCCATTTTGTAAGAAACAAGCTATTGTGCTTATTGTAAGAGTCAGACTATTGAATATAACTAAATTAATATTTAGAATTTGACTATAAGTGAACTTCCTCTAAACTTTGGGGAAGAAGCAGAAAGCACTAGATGAGTTTTTTAATATGCACTCTCAAAGAATCTCTTAAAAATCTGTTGACTCCAGAGCTGTTTAATTTTACATAAAATTGAATATTTCTGTGTTTTCATCTGTTTCATACAACTTTTTTTAAATACCAAAGTTTGGCACATATTCTCCCTTAATAACAATAGTAATGATGATGATAATAGCAGTTACCTCATGCCAGCTATGTGCCACACAGCATGCTAAATTCTTTGCATATAGTTAGCGTTTCATCCTCACAACAGCCAAATGAATTTGGCAGTACTGTTGTCCCATTTTTTAAATAATCCTTGGTTCATTATACACTCTCATCATTAGCCCATGCTTGAGCCTCTTTTATGTATGTGTGTGTATGTTTCTTTCTAATACTGTAATGAGCATTTTATAAATTAGGAAAGTGAGAGTTGGAGGTGAAATAAGTTGTCCGTGGATGCCAGCTCTAAGTAATGGAGCCAGGATTAAAACCAGGATCTGCTGGATTCTAAAATCTGTGCTGTTAACCACTATAACTGCAGAAAGCCCTTCCTGGATCATCTTAGATAAAATAATTTCCTCTTCTCTCTCCTGTTACCCTGCTTTATTTTTCTTCTTAGTGCTTGTCACCACTTGATGTGTATATATACATATGTGTATATACATATATAAAAATATATGTATATGTATGTATATTATATATATATGTAATTTTTTTATTGTTTCTCTCCTCTTCTTTTGTTCACTGTTCCCATAGAACAGTTTCAGGCATATAGATGAGTCAGAATTGACTAGACGACAATGGATATATATTAAGTATTGGCTGATCATTTGGATGAGTGAATGCAATCAGTCTATTTATGTAATCAGTGCACACCTTAGTGCAAAATGTGATACTGTTATGAAGTTTCCCTCTCTACACTATTATTCCTATACTGTATCTGTGGAAGTAGAATCATTAATGTGCTTCTTGCTAAAATATAGAAGTAGAATCAGTATAGAAGTTTTTTGATGCTTAGGAAAATTCTCTTGCTCATTTGTTTTATGAACTTGTTCTTATAAGGAAAATATTTTTTATTTTTAAATCAGTCATTTTCTAATAACTGAAACTTACCTGTTTTTTAGACTGTTATCTCAGTGTATGGAGTATTTTGATCTGAGGTGCCAATTATTAGATGATCTGACAAGTAAGTAAATGTCTGACTTTGATTTGTGTGTGCAGGGTGGAGGGAGTAGAAGAGAAGACCAAATGGACATTTCTAAATCTGACTTATATATCTCAGATGTAAACAAGATTGTAACTATTGTTTGAGGTTGAATTTTGTTTCCTTGAAAATAGCATGTAAACCTGTGTACCCGTGAGCACTTCTGTCATATACCTAACCATTAATGTGGTTGAGAAGATTTGTGGATTTTAAAAATTATTCAGTGGCTTGTATTTTAATCACATTAATACAGACTATTAGGAAGGATCTTTATCTCTAGTATAGTCAATTCTGACAATTTTAAAGGTTGATCATTGAGGGAAAGAGGGAATTTGTATTGAGGCATGTTGATAATGAAGTCAGTTAATTAGTGTTAGGTAATTTAAATGTTATTGTTAGAAATTCTGTCATTAGAGTGTTTAGATTTTAATCATCTGTATTTACCCTGAAATAATGCAAATAAATATTAGAATGTTAGTTGTTCACATCAAAAGTTGTTAGTTTATTCTCTACTCTCTTACACAAAAGGTTTGCTTAAGCTTATAGGAAATAAAATACAAATCAGGATTAAACAAAATATCGATTGGAAAAGAACGTCAAGGCTAGGAGGAAAAAACATACCTTGCATATATGCAGTCTATAAAGCCCTACACAGTCAGAATTTGGTTGTGAGGTTCCTAGAAGGCAAAGATAAAAGGAAGCAGTATGTGTTTGGTTGTTCTCAACATCCTTCTCTAGAAGAAGAAACAGAATCGTTTCTCAAAAGAAACATATCTTTTTCCCAGCACTTAAGTCTAAAGAAATTTCATATAAAGGTCTTCATGTAATGGACAGTTAAAGATATAGTGACAGATAATCTTCAGCATCATCCCTAAGGCAACACCTTTGTCAGTTTCAGAAGTGTCTCTTAATAAAAACTAAGGACGCAGTGCTCTGAGCAGTGAAATTGAATTTGTTGGAGACTGAGATGATATCGTCTGAGTCTTGATTCAG